CTCTGAAGGATCGGCATGCACGTGCCATTCCTTCAGAGATGTGTGCCATAGAAAGTAACTCCCATGGGCATGCCATTCAAGCTGCCGGAGCCCTTGAACCCGGAAGAAGGACCAGGTGAAGATAGAAGCCTGGTCAGTGGTGACAGCACGCCAACATAGGGCTTTGTTTTAAGGTAAGTTTCACATAATGTGCAAGTATGCGATGCATACTAGCACATTATGCCATTGTGTTGCAGGTTTTTCTTATTTTAAAAAGGTCACGGTTTACTACTACCGCTTTAAAGACTGGTTATGTATTGCCCTTACAATTTCACATTCAGACCTGGCAGTGCACTAAGTGAGCTGCCTTACATTGAGCCAAGCTAAGGGTGGCCAAACGTGGAACAAAATTTGATTTATATAAGCATTGATTTACATAATTTGGATCAATTGATCGACTTGTCTACAACTAGCCTTTTGGGTTTTTCCCAAACAATCGGTGCCTCCATCTGTAGCCGGCAACCCTGATCAGTGTGTTCTAATGGCGGGGAAGGCTCCCTTTGCTCATAATACAATAGCACAGCAAGAGGGATTCGGGTATTTTTTTTTCTTCGTTCAACCTGCTAGTAGTTGAGCAAAAAAAAAAAAAAAAAGATAATGTATAGTCAGCATAAATCACATGCTGCAAAGTGCATAGGGAAACCAGGTATCTATTACCAACAAGGCAATTACTGCAGCAGATTGCTCTTCTGCTTAAAAGTAGATTTGAAGGGGCAATTCTTCAATAATTACAGTTATGCTTAGCCACTATAAAGCATAGAAGTAATTATTAAACCCTATACTAACAGCAGTAACACTTGCCACTTCCCGTACTGCTACAGGGCAGCACGGGTGCGCAAAATCATGATTTTGCATTTCCAGGTAGGGGGCGTGTGCAAGCTGCTATTCGTGGTCTTGGTTGTCAATCAACGGGTCTTGTTCGGTGATTACTCGCCGGCACCCGGTGATCGAGTAGCATTACCAATGGAGGGAGAGAACAGTAAGTAAACATTACAGTTCTCTCTCCTGTCCGCTCCTACACACTGCTATGCATGGCTTTGCATACCATAGCCATGCAAAGCAATATGCTTACAGTGAAGCACACATATACAGCACACAGTAAAACAGCACACAGTTAACCCTTTGATCGCCCTGCATGTCAACCCCCTTCCTGCCCAGTGCCATTAGTACATTGTCAGTGTTTTTTATTAGCACTGATCACTGCATTGGTGTCACTGGGGATGTCAGTGACACCAAGTCAGTCCCCCCCCCCCCCCCCCCAGTGTCAGACTGTCCGCCACAGTCCAGCAGTCTCGCTATAAGTCGCTGATCGCCACCATTACTAGTGAAAAAAAAATCCCAGTATATATACCGCCATTTATAAATGCTATACCTTTCACATAAACTAATTAATTTACACATGTCAGGATTTTTTTTAGCAAGGACATAGCAGAATACATTTTGGCCTAAATTTATGATGACATTTGATTTTTTAAATTTTTTTACTGGACATGTTTACTAGCAAAAAGCCAAAAATCTTGTTTTTTTTTTTTTTCAAAATTGTCGTTTTTTTTTTATAGCGCAAAAAATAAATGCACAGGAAATCAAATACCACTGAAAGAAAGCTCTATATGTGGGAAGAAAAGGACATCAATTTAATTTGGGTGCAGCGTTGCATGACCACGCTGTGCTGTGTACTTGAAAAAGTATCCTGTTCTCTTTGTATTGTTTCCTTTGTGTGAAATCCCTGGCGTTCTCGCCAGGCACCCTGCTTTCCTATATAAAAAAACTGATGACACATAAGAGTACAGCGTGGTCAGTTCTAGCTGTTCTGAGAACTCAGCCTTCTCTCCTCCAATGATCAGACTTGTGCTAACAGAACCCCCCCCCCCCCCCACACACACACACAGCCATTCACTGGGAAGATCAGTATGGAGCTGTTTCTTCTTCCCCAGCTCTCTAAGATACTTATGCAGCTGAGAATTGAATGTATGTGATCACTTATTATAAAAAGGGGAAAAAAAGAATTTATATATTTTTTATACCTATACACAGATGTTTTGCATTTAATTTCTATTTTATAAACTGGAAGGGTTGGTTTTATATGGTGAGGGTTCACATATACTTTAAACTGCCTCTACTTAGCCAAGTACTAAAAAGTAATATGTCGCATGGTGTGTAAAATACAGCACAATATATATTGTCTAGAAATTGCAAAATTTAGTGAGCTATTTTTGGTCAAGATACAGCTCATTTATCTAGTAAATTACTAAAAACAACCTTGCTGTAAAAGTTGGGATCTGTTATGGAAAACAAAATTGATTGCCTTTTGCTGAGGCTGTTTTGTATGCTGGGTCTAAAATTTTCTAACTCTGTAAAAGGAACATATAAATTTTCCTGATACAACAAATAGAACATGACAAATGGAGGCTGTGCAGATAAAATTGAGCTCTTTGTCGTGTCTTGTTATGATCAATGACATGTCCTTTGAGTCACCGTAGAGAAATATATTAATGTTAAAATTTCCCAGGAAAAGTAAATGTACTGTTCATTCTGCCAGATAATAACTTCATCTAAATAAATAACTATTCTTCTAAAATCTTTAACTTGGTGGCTGAGAAAATGGTAAACAAAACCAACATTTAGGCCTAAGGCTACTTAGCGTTCAAATAGATTTTCTATTATAACTAAAAGCATAATGAAACATTTGTTGGTAACATTGTATAAAGCAAACTAAATACATAAAGGAAACCGTGAACACCATACATGTAATTTACAAACATTTTTCACATAGTATTACCGCACAAATAAAAATTCATATGTTTTCATATTTTTAAATAAACTGTATGTAGGATCCAAAACCAGGAACCAAGAACCCAGCATCCAAATTGGTATTTAATCACAAAGTCCTTTATCACAGGATGCAGAAATTCATACTATAAGTCCTTCCATTCTTCCAAGATTCTCACTGTAAATATTTTAAATGTCCTATTCATATGTGACAAAAACAGTGTGCTCCTCTTCCTACTTTCATAGATTATTAGCTCCTCATGAAAAAAAATATAAACTGCATGTAGTGCATTATCTTTTAAATACAATAAATCAAATATATATTACATTCACATAAAAGTTCTATAATAGTGCCAAATCTCCACCATGTGAAATCACTCCAATCCGTAATTCCTACTCTTAAGGTGGGAATACACGATTATAAAATCAACCAATTGGTCATCCAACGACTGAGAAGCGTTTGTTCGTTGGTCGAAATCATGGCCCACATTAACCAATCTAAAAAAATTGTTCGTCGGGCAATACATAGTCTTCTTACAAGTTGAAGTGATGCAGTGTGCGTGTGACCTTGTAGCCACGCCCTTCCGGCCAGAACATGCGATATAGACAACAAATAACAGCAATGAGTATAAAATAATTTATTACATTATCTATATACATAAATAGTGATACATAAAAATATAATATACATAATTCTGGTTTAATTATCTCATTAGGTCAAACTACTTTTAACATTTGGATTTTTCCTTCATGTTTATGAAGATTCCTTGGACATAAACATCCAAGTCATCTTCTGTTTCCGCTCATGCGTGATAGTGCTTGATAGATTTTTTTTGTATGACCGTCATTCCACCGCATAGAAAATCGGTCGTTCATATGCAAAACGACAACATTTTTCACTGTTGTTCAACTGGATTTTTTCGTTCACAATATCACTATTTGTTAAAACATCCTGCTCATCAACGAAGAGAAAATCGTTTGATCAGTTCCACAAAATTTTTTGCATGATTTTCTTATCGTGTGTACGGGGCATTACCCTCCAATCAAAAATCCTTGCTTTGTTAAAGGGGGGATGGATCTTGTAAATTACTCCTTTTTCATTCTTCTTTCATAATAAATTGCTCTCCCAAAAAAAGTTAAATATCATATGTAGTATTTTCAATACATCAAACAATAGTGCCAATGTGCTCACACTTAATCGATATTCCATGTTGTCACATACCTATTTGGTTTGATTGCATGTGACAACATGGGAGTGGAATATCGACATTAGAGGAGATCTTTTGAAGCATAACAGTTAACTATGAGATTCCATTCTTCATACAAGATCTGGTAAGGTGCATGAACTGTGAGGTGGAGTGTTACCTAAGGAGAATTATGCACTGATTGGTGGTCACAAAGTGTGATAAAGTGTGAGCACATTTACATTACGGATTTAGAGTGATGGCACATGGTGGAGATTTGGCACTATTATAGCACTTTTATGTGAGTGTAATATATATTTGATTTATTGCATTTAAAAGATAATGCACTAAATGTGGTTTATATTTTTTTTGCATGAGGAGCTAATAATCTATGGAAGGAGGATGAAGAGCACACTGTTTTTGTCAAACATGAATAGGACATTTAAAATATTTACGGTGAGAACCTTGGAAGAATGGAAGGACTTGTAGTATGAATTTCTACACCTCTGATAAAGGACTTTTTGATTCAATAACAATTTGGACGCTTGTTTACATATTTTTAAATAGCTTGCATCTTGTAACCAGTGGTTCTGCATACTTGAGGGTTGTTGTAGCAAATAGCAAATTTTTATTGGAACGTGGTGATCATAGTCCACTATTATAGTAAATCAGTCCATGTGTGTCTTGAATACAGTGGAAATGATGAACATTCTCTTTCCCCATCCCAATGAAGGGTCCAGGGAAATACTGACCCAATAACTAACAGGCCTGGGGTAGCATGTTCATGGATCTAAAAGTAACAATTTTAATAAAGTAGTTATTTCCCTGACAACTTAGCCCGGAAATGCTCATCACTGTGTGAAAAAAAGCTTTGACCTGACAGCTTATTATGACAGTTATGGGTTTAGCTCTTATAAAGTAGGATTGGCTATTCCCACAAATTCTCCTTAATAAAAGAGGCTGCTGGTTTTTTAATTGTGAAGCATGTGTGCAACTTCATAATATTACCTTTGGCTTCATCTGTTATGTTCACCTCTTTGTTTTGTAAAAGTTTCCATCGTGGAACAGGAAGTGGTTTTGGTGGAGTTACTAGTGGACATGATCTAGTCCTAGACACAAGTACTGGATGATTGTAAATGTGTGATAATCCATATTGTCTCAATTTCTCTGATGAATCAGCCTAGAAAAAAAATCAATACCTTAGTTTATGTACATCATATGAGTACCAAATGTTTACATATGTATATAAATGGAACTGGATAAAGCACAGTTGGGCTGTTCTGCCTATTAATACCTGAGAACCAAGCCATCTTTGATTATCCTGCACATCTGCACATTATCCTGTTCCAGTGGCCAGACTGACCATTCGAGCACTTGGGCACTGCCAAAGGGCCCAGGGTCAGTAGAGGGACCCATGAAATGCCCCTGGTACCTTTTTTATAGGCTTTTTTGGGTGTGCTTTGAGTGTGGGCAAGGACACAGGGGCTCCATGATCCCCTATTGCCAGGGGGCCCCATGAGTTGTCAGTCCGCTCCTGTCCCCTTCATCCCTATGCTCCCATTCTATGTGACCTGTACATTAGCCCCTTCACCTCCTCCCTCTGTAGGAGCCATGAAACTGTAGCCAGAGCACTATTACCAAGCTTCATGTTTTAACATGTTTTATTTATTTCCAAAAACTTGTTACGAAAGATGAGATCTTTTAGGCGATCTTTGAAGACTCACTTATTCAGGGAAGCCTACCCCACCTTCACCTAAGAACTGTACTTGAATCACCTCCACCAGATCATCCCCCGCAGCTATCATCTTTTGTATCACCACCCCCTTCCTTTAGATTGTAAGCTCCACGAGCAAGGCTCTCCTATTTCTTCTGTACTGAAATGTATTGTACGGTCTCCCTTGTAATTGTACTGTCTCCCTGCACAAACGGCTGGCGCTATATAAATCCTGTATAATAATATAATAATAATAAGACCACCTTGGGGTGTCTACTTTCCAAAATGGAGTTGTTTTCAGGGTGTTCATACTGTCCTGGCATTTTTATTTTAATAGAAAGCAAGGGAAAAACCTTTTTTTTTAGAAAAAGTTTGGTTGATTTTCCTTTATATAGTAAACAATAAAAACCAGTGGTTACTAATTAACCACCAGAAGAAAGCTTTATCTGTCTCATACAAACATATAAAATTAATTTAGGGTTACCTGAACAAATATTTGTTAAAGTATCACAGCACTAAAAACTGAAAATGACCGGGTAGTGACATTACAAGCTGGTACTCAAGTGGCTAAGGTCTTGGACACATATAGTACTTCACTGTACAAATGAACTTTGTCCTGTAACCTTATTTTTAATTTTAGCTTAGAATTAGCTTGCACTAGAGGTAAATGTTCTATTTAAAGTGTTACTAAACCCAGGACCCTGCATCCACTATATCTGGTCTCCCACAGTACACAGGACATGTAAATGCAATTATTTTAGTAAATATAAACTGCTAAATACCTTTTCTCATCAGAAGTTAGAGCAGTCTTGTGGCTTCTATCAGTGTTCAGCCAAACACTAGCTAAAGCTTGTAGGAGGAGTTTTCTTTCTGCTCTAGGAGGATGAAATACCCTGACCTCTGTCTGACCAGTGCTGATTGGTGCTGTGCTGATCACATGCAATCTCCCCCCCAAAAAAAAAACCTCTCTAGCAATACACACCAAACTGAGCATGTTTAAAATGCCTACGGTTCAGTCTTTCTCTTGTCAGGAGATGAGGTGGTCCCTTGAAAAAGGGGAGGAACAGAGGAGTAACCCCTTATGTTCCACAGTGAGTATAACAAGCATGCTTTACTGCATATACAGGCTGATTTTACTGTTGGGATTTTAGTAACACTTTAAGGATTATTTTATCTCTCTAGGATCCCAGAAGTTAGAAACAGAAGTTCTTCTATTTATGTTCCTTACCTGCGAATCTAAGGCTAGTTGTACATGTTTAGATTGCAGTAGATTCTGCCATCCACGCTAAACAGTGTAGATATCCCCTGCCAGCTATTGTATTCTCACAGCCACAGCTCCTGTGGCAGCCGGAATACCTGAATGGACTGGTTGCATTCACTGTCTGGCAGAGAATTTTTTCACCATGCTCTTTCAATTTTCCAATCAAAGTTTGCTATTCAGGGTGGTACTTGACAGGGCAACCCGTGGCTTGAATTGTGTATTGTGTGAATTGTGTACGACCAGCACAACTATCTACAGATAAATGGCACTTTGGGCCTATTATGAAAATAGCCATAAACTGAGATTAAATAATTGTAACTCTTACGATTGAATATGGAACACTCTATAAGATATTATATAATCATACCGAGAATTGCACTTTTGAATACAAATTGAGCTCTGGTAAACAAATAAATCATTTATAAAAGTTCTACACAATCTTGTCTTACAACGGCTGAATGATTTTAAAAGTCCTCACCATCTGCCCAAGTATGGAAATCTTCTGTTCACTCAAATGGAGTGGTAAGTAGCTGGCATACACAACCATCTGGGGCACTGGGTGTACAGAAGCGGCTGTTAAAAAAAAGTATATGTGTTATGTGTATATAAATATATATATATATATATATGTGTATATATATTCTTCATACATATCGTTCTTCTTAAAAGCTTTAAAGTACAAAAATGGACCAGCTACAATAGATTAATACTAATTAAACAAATTAAAAGTACCCAAAGTTATGTGTTAAATCGAAAGGACCTCAGACAAGTTTCCCGAGTCATTTAGTGCCGCAGTGTTTGACACAAATGAGAACCAACTGGTGTTTGGAGACTTGTAGCTGCTTGTCCCAGTGACACAGCGGCTAAGGCCAAAGTAATTTAGGAATGTGTAAAAAAGATAATTGCATTTTTGTAGATAAACTCTCTAAGGAGGGTCATATAAAAAAAGCAATGCATGCTTATTGTTAGGCTGCGATAATAAGAAAATCCCCAAGGTTTATTTCAGTATGTTCTATTTTCGTTTGAGTAGGGAACAAAAGATATAATTGGGTCAAAAGCACTTTAGTTCAGGGAAAAAGGAAGGTACAGAACGTACAGTTCTCTGTGGTCATCTGGTATAGGGAGAACTTAGGACAGGGTGAAAAAGTACCAGTAGGCTTACAGGTTATGTGTGGTTTCTTTTCCTCTTTTTTTTTTTTACTAAGAATTGCAGAAGGACGTGCATATTAGCTTTTCCTCAGCTGGAGGAATGAGAATTTCTAATTCTTACTTACGGAAGAGTTATAGCAGGCTTGGTTGATATTTCTATAATTGTTTTTATGTTTTGGAGCCCACATAATCAACAAACTACCAAAATAAAAAGGAAAAAGACAGATGCCCAAGTAAAAGAAATGACTGTTTGTTGTGGACAAAAAGCAATTCTATAATAAAGTTAGAAAAGGAACAAAACATAGTTGTAGTGTACTGAATTTATCAGTGCAAACCCAAGCAGGATTAAAGTGTTACAAAACCCAGGACCCTGCATTCACTATATCTGGTCTCCCAGAGCAGACAGAACATGGAAATGCAATTATTTTAGTAAATATAAAGTGCTAAATTCCTTTTCACATCAGCAGGATATAACAGTCTTGTGACTTCTGTCAGTGTTCAGCAGAGCACATGTTAAAGCTTGTAGGAGGAGTTTTCTTTCTGCTCTAGGAGGATGAAAAACCCCTGACCTCTGTCTGGTTGGTGCTGGTTGGACCTGTGCTGATCACATGCACTCTCCCAAGAAAAAAAAAAAACCCTCTCTAGCAATACACACCAACTGAGCATGTGCAGAGTGTTTCCACATGATATGTCTTATCAGGAGATAAGAGTGAGACACTGGAAGAAGGGGAGGATCAGAGAAGTCAAGATCAAACAGCCTTTTTACACAATGCAGAGGATTAACCCCTTAGGTTCCACAGTGAGTATTACAAGCATGCTTTATTGCATATACAGACTGATTTTACTGTTATGGGTTTAGTAACACTTTAACTTACACTCACCGGCTACTTTATTAGGTACACCTTGCTAGTGACAAGAAAATATCACCCACACCATTACACCACCACCAGCCTGAACCGTTGATACAAAGCAAGATGTATCCATGCTTTCATGTTGTTTACGTTTACGTCAAATTCTGACCCTCCACTTTTACATTTGTCGCAGCAACCAGTCTGCCCATTCTCCTCTAACCTCTGACATCAACAAAGCATTTTCATCCACACAACTGCCATTCACTGGATATTTCCTCTTTTTTGGAGCATTCTCTGTAAAGAGATAATTGTACATGAAAATCCCAGTAGATCAGCAGTTTTATTAAATACTCAGACCAGACCGTCTGGCACCGACAACAATGCCATGTTCAAGGTCACTTAAATCCCCTTTCTTCCCCATTCTGATGCTTGGTTTGAACTTCAGCAAGTTGTCTCCACCACATCTACATGCCTAAATGCCTTGAGTTGCTGCCATGTGATTGGCTGATTAGCCATTTGATTTACCAAGCAATTGAACAGGTGTACCTAATAAAGTGGCCGGTGAGTATATATTTTACTTGAGTTAGTTTAATATAAAAAGGCAATTTCTGAAATTGTAATCTCTCTCAAACTTTCTATTTTGAGTTGTGCAAAATAAATGACCCGTCTGAATCAAAAAAAAATTTGAATGCAACTGTCATTTCAAAATAATTCTGCCAGCACATAGGCCAAATGTTGGGCCATTCTGGGAGTTCAAAGCTTTCTCAGTACCAGGCAGCTTGCCATTCATTACACACATTTCTCTTAGCCAACAAGGTAGCCCAATATAGCAGAAGTTTAAACATTCAGGCGTACCTCGGTTTACGAACGTCTCGGTTAACGTAATTTTTGGTTTACAAATGAAAATCCATTGAAAATAATGCCTTGGTTTACAATTTTTTTTTTTGCAATAAGAACAGACTAATTGTTTTTCAATGCATTTCCGAATTCATTTTTAATCATGTCCCTGTACAGTATTTATGCCTTTAAAGTGCACTTTATAAAGAGTTTTGAACAGATAAAAAACTTTTTTTTACTTTTTTTTTACCTCCGGAACGGATTCATTGGTTTCAATGCATTCCTATTGGAAACCACGTTTTGGTTTATGAATTTTACGAAAACAGTACCGCAGAACGCATTAAATTAGTAAACCGAGGTACGCCTGTATAGTACAGGGTTTCTCAACTAGGGTTCCTCCAGGATTTACCAGGTGCTCCTTGAGCAATGGGTAATTTCTGCCTGTCAGATAAGTTCCCACTAACACCATTGTTCTTTTTAGCTATCTATAAGAGGGTTAGTCATCCCAATGACCACAAGTGTAAGGAGCATTCTTCCCACTGATCATCACACTAATGTATCATTAATTGTAGCAATTTTTAGCAGGGGTTCCCTGAGACTGGAAAGTATTTAAAGGGTTCCTCTGTGTTGAAAAGGTTGAGAAAGGCTGATATATAGCTTATAGGAGAAAACAAAAACATATTCACTGAAATTCACAAAGACTAGTGCAGGCAGTTTTTGCCAAGGTCTCTCTCATACATTCTAAAATTGGTGAAGAATGCGCCACATTCATGCACCTGTCTAGAACAGGTACATGTCTGAGCCAGGTTTTCTCTGTATGCTAAAAAAGAGTTGGTCTTAATTAGCTCCACTTTTACATTTGGCGCATTCAATGTGACTCAATGTAAAAGTGGTGCATTCAATGAGACACAATGTAATAGTGGTGCATTTTAGAACTATCTGAATTTGATGCAGGAGTCACTGTCAGAACCAAAAGTTTCACAAATACTTCATGAATTTGTCGCAATATATTAAAGCGCTAGTAAACCACACTTTAAAAAAAAAAAAAACGTTTTTCCCTGCAAGGTAATGTCATAATGTGCTAGTATGCATCACATACTATCACATTATGTAGGACTTACTTTAAAACTAAGCCCTCCAGAGACACACTGTCATTGCTGCAGGGGCTTCCATCTTCACCCGGTCTTCCTTCCGGGTTTGCGAGCTCCAGCCGTCTGACTGGCATGCACGCGGATGTCTGGGACCACAGTGCTCTGAAGGATTGGTACGGGTATGCCGTTCCTTCAGAGTGCATGTGTTGAATCCCAAAAAGAACGAATATCGGTGCACCTTTAGGAGATGCGCACTGTCACCGATGCAGAGGCTTCCATCTTTACCCGGTCTTCCTTCTGGGTTCGAGAGCTCCAGCCGTCTGACTGGACAAGCCGCGATGACGTCACTCCCGAGCATGCGCGCGGGAGTCCTGGGCCAATGCACAATGCTCTGATGGAACAACATGGCTACGTCATTCCTTCAGAGCGAATGCACCGGCTATCAAAAGGAGCAAATACCTCCTAAATGGTACATGTTTAGGAGATATTAATCTTACCTACAGGTAAGCTTTTTATAAGCTTACCTGTAGGTAAAATTATATAAAATTAGTTTACTACCACTTTAACAAGGAGGATTACTGCCAGAAAATTGGTGCAGCAGCTTTATTGATTACCCCTCCCCCCACCAACTCTACCTGATGACTACCACGCACTAATGATGGCTCCCCAAACTATCGTCTTAATCAACATGGAGACACATTTTCTTCCCAGGGGCTCCCCCTGGCAAGCACTCTCTAACTGTTCAGGGCATGTGGCCTGGTATGTTTCAGGGGACAGGGGGAAGTGCATGGCTGTTAGACTGCAGGGTCTGGGACCCCTTCCTGTTTTTTTTTTTCTCTTGCGGTGGTTGTGGATTTCTGGGGGGATCCCAGCACATTATTTTTTTAAATGTACAGCAGCAAAAGTGATATTTTAAAAGAAAAAAAAATATTGTGACAACTGATATTTCCCTGCTGGCTTTTTTTTTTTTAAACAGCATAGGTCTGGTATGTATTGCTGGGGGGCCCCCGTAGAAATATGAAGTACCACAATCTAAATGACCTTTCCTTTTTCTAAATCCCATTTTAGCTGCAGTACCTCCTAGACGACGTACAGATTTGCTCCTGCACAGGAAGGTTTTTAAAAGAAATTTTGCAGTTTTATTGTTCTGCTTTAAACTATTTTATAAATGATGTTTCCTGCTGAACAGTATTTTTTACAAATTGTTTTATTGCATTGTTACATGTCCTGCAGGATAGTGTCCAGGTATCCATGCCTAAATGGTCCAAATCGATTTTAAAGATTCAGTTCCTATTGTCTTTAATAGGGGTTGGGTTAGGCATCCCAGGATGTTCTGCTCACTACTTATAAGAATATAAAGCAATAAAGACAGGACAGAGGTTATAGGCCTTTCTGTATTATAAAGCAAGAAAACAGTTTTGCTAGTGCTAGGATTTAAGCAATAACAATGACTAATAGGAATATTTGAAGTGCACTGAATATTTAAAGAGGTTATTTTAGTCACAGGTGGAGTTTGATGAATTAGGACATCTAGCTGACTTCTATACATTTTGGTTCTTTTAACATCTATCTTGCATCTAACTTCAGGGTGCTCCCACTCCCCTCCTAGTGCACTTTCCTTAAAACCCAAGAACATTTTAGTCTA